GTAGCGCTGGCTTTAGGACCAGGCACGGGGATTGCGCATTTGGTTGAGAGGTGGGGCCATGTGGTCCGTAAATCCCCTGGGGCCTTGTGCCCACCTACCCTGGGGAACAAACCCAGTCACGCATGCTAGTCGATTCGGCAGGGTTGGCCGTGGACACCCTACGCGCCACGCCGTCTCGTCTGGGCTGCGAGTCATCGGCGACGAGGTCACCTCACTGTTCCCTGACAAGCTTGTCTGATTTGGTGTTGCCATTGTGTGGCTTTCACATGCTCCAAATGCTCCGCCTCCTCCGTTCCCGCTCATCCTTCCCCCCTCCCTCCCTCTTTCCCCTCCCCCCTCCCAAGGCCGCAGGGTGCGAGTCGGCTCTCAACAACCTGACCGTGACCGCCGCTTGACTAGGAAGCTGCCGGCCCAGGGGCACGGCAGTCGCCGCAATTGCCGTCGGCCGCGGCTTGATCCGCATCGAGATTTTGGTCAGGACGCGCTCTGGAGTCGGTCGTCGTCGTTGTCGTTGTCTTCGTCGTGGGGAAGAGGCAGGGAGGGAGATTTGGGGAAAGGCACAGAAAGAGAGGAAGAGAGAGAGAGAGAATAATGGAGTGAGGGGTGTATCTGTATAGTTGCATGTAGATGCGTCGAATAATTTATTGTAAACAAATACGCCCCCCCCGGAGCGTCCCCCACCCCCGGAACATCTGGGGGCAACTCCCGGCACCGCGCCCCCAGGCCTCCCAGGGAGGCCCCCAAAACGTTCCCAGGACGGCCCAAGACGCCCCAAAGGAGCCCCCAGAACGCCAAAGGACGTCCCAACACGCTCCCAAGCAACCCAAGACAGACTTCCCACGGTTCTCCAGGCTCGGCCTCCAAGAGGCCCCAAGAGAGTTCCGAAAGGCGTTCCGGGAGCGCCAGAAGAGGCCAAAATCGTTGATTCGTTGTGTTTTTGTGTGTGGGGGGGGGGTTCGCCTTCTCGCGTTTTCGACCTTCCAGCGCTCCAAGACAGCCGAACAGGCCTTCAAGACCGCCCCAAGACCGCCCAAGAGCCCCCCAAACGGCTCCAAGACGGGTCAAGAAGGCCCCAAGACGGCCCCACGACGGCCCAAGAGCGCCCCGAGGCAGCCCAGTGGACCCCCAAGATGGCTCGAAAAGCCGCCCAACAGGCGGTACGCAAATCGACAATCCCGGCTTTCCGCTCTAATATACCCCCAGGAGGCCTCAAGAGTCCCCCAAAGAGCCTGAAGCGGCCCCCAAAAGCCCCCCCGAAGAGACCCAAAAGTGGCCCCAAGAGGCCCCCAAACAGCCCCCCAGCGGTTTCCAAACTGCCCCCCAAGAGTTCCCTTCGCGCCTCTTAGGCCCCCCGGGTTCTTGCGCACTAGATGTTAGAAGGCACCATTTGAAAAAAAGGGAGTCCAGTGATTTTCTTGTTCAAGTTCACCCCGAGTCCCATCAAGACTTCGGGGTCACATTTCAAAGTTTCTTCGGGAATGCTGTTGAACTCTCGGACGTTGTTTTGGCACTCTCTTGGGTCGTCTTCGTGTCCTCTTGGCTGCCCTTGAAACCACAGTGAAAATCTGAATCCCATGGGTTCACCTGTCCAGCCTATCTAGAACGTCAGCGCGCGCGCACGCGCGCCAAGGAATAGACAAAAAAGAGGGGACCTCCTAAAGCCTAACGAGCGCTTTGCCCCAAGGTGGCCCCAATGTTCTCCCAGAGGTTTTCGAGGCGCCCCCATGATGCCTGCGGAAACTCTCGGGGGGCCCCCAGGAGGCACCAACAGCCTTCCAAGAGGCCCCGAAAGATTCCCAAGACGACGCTAAAAGGCCCCCAAAGGGCGTCCCAACAGTCCACGGCCTGTATCCAGGAAGCTTCTGACCCACGGCCCAGGCATGGCACTTTAAAAAAGGAATTCCAATAGTTCCTTTGTTCAAACTTACAGTACCTCTGCGTATGTTTGCAAAACAGGCCATGATTAAGGCCCCCGTCACCACCGAAGAAAGATCCCAGGAAGCCTTCGAAGGGCCCAAACCATCGAACACCTAAAAATGAAATGTATGATTCGGTGGTTTCCGCATTTCTTCTTCTATACGCTTCCGAGGCTTGCGCAGGGACTCCAAGAAGGTTGTTAGATGCACAAGGCACTTCAACCGTTGAGATTCCATGCGTTAGCCTGTCGGGCATAGCTAGAACTTGAGCGCGCGCGAAGCGTGCGATGTTTCTATATGTGTATACACATATATCAAACTAGGAGCCAGCGCTCACTCGAAATAGAGACTTAACCCTACTCTATGCTACGCTAGGCTACACTACGTAACATACACTGCTCTACTCGACGCTACTCTACTCCACGCGACATACTCTACCCTACTCGATGTTACCCTACGGAATTTTACCCTACTCGACTCCACTCTATTGTCTTCGACGCTGCTCTACTTTATGATGCGCCACTCTATTCTTATTCCCCAAACAGCTTGCTGAACGGGGTCCTGTTGTGATAGAAGCTAACTCCGGCCGAGGGAAGTCGGAGCAGAGACATCCTCACAACAATTTGATGGTCCGGGCCGTTTCGCTTGAGACATCCTCACAACTCTCGTTTCTGAGTTGGCCGGGATTGGCCGTTTCGCCTGAGACATCCTCGAAAAGTTGCGCTCCGGGACGCCGCGCGAGAGGTATCCGGGCCGTTTCGTTTGAGACATCCTCAAAATTCTGAGCCCCGAGGTGCCGTGCGAGAGGTGGTCCGGGCCGTTTCGCCTGAGACATCCTCGAAACTCTGAGCTCTGAGATGCCTTGCGCGAGGTGGTCCGGCCCGTTTCGCCTGAGACATCCTCGAAACTCTAACCTCGGAGATGCCGCGCGAGAGGTGGTCCGGCCCGTTTCGCCTGAGACATCCTCGAACTTCTGAGCTCTGAGATGCCCTGCGCGAGGTTGTCCGGCCCGTCTCGCCTGAGACATCCTCGCAACTCTGAGCTCTGAGATGCCGTGCGCAAGGTGGTCCGGCCTGTTTCGTACAAGACATTCTCGCAACTCTGAGCTCCCAGATGCCGCGCAAGAGGTGGTCCAGCTTGGGGGCCCAGAAGACCACATGTTACATATCCTCCCTGGGACCCTGGGAGCCCGCTTGAGACATCCTCGAACTTCTGAGCTTTGAGATGCCCTGCGCGAGGTGGTCCGGCCCATCTCGCCTGAGACATCCTCGCAACTCTGAGCTCTGAGATGCCGTGCGTAAGGTGGTCCGGCCTGTTTCGCACAAGACATTCTCGCAACTCTGAGCTCCCAGATGCCGCGCAAGAGGTGGTCCAGCCTGGGGGCCAAGAAGACCACATGTTACATATCCCCCCTGGGACCCTGGGAGCCCCATGAGGCCCCAGAGAGCTCCAGGAGGCCGCAGGACGCCCAGGACAGGCCCCAGGGGTCCCCAGGAGATTCCCAGGAGGCTCCCAGGAGGCCCCAGGAGGCCCCCTATCAGAACGTGTCAAGTTAATACACATCCGGTGTCGATTCGTTGATTTTTCGTGCTCTTGTGCCCCCCCCTCCATTTTGAGGGGCCCAAGCGGCCACAGGTTAGATATCCCTGGGAGCCCCAAGAGGCTTCAGGAAACCCCAGGTGGAGTTCAGGAGGCCACAGGAGGCCCAGGAGGAAGCCCCAGGAGGTCCCCAGGAGGCCCCAGGAGGCACCAGGAGGCCCCCGCAACTCGGAGCTCTGAGACGCCGCGCTCGAGGTGGTCCGGCCCGTTTCGCCTGAGACTTCCTCGCAGCACGTTTCGCCCGAGACACCGGCCCGTCTCGCTTGAGACATCCTTGCAACTCTGAGCTCTGAGATGCCGTGCGCAAGTTGGTCCGGCCCGTTTCGCACAAGACATTCTCGCAAGTCCGAGCTCCCAGATGCCGCGCAAGAGGTGGTCCAGCTTGGGGGCCCAGAAGACCACATGTTACATATCCCCCCTGGGACCCTGGGAGCCCCAGGAGGCCCCAGAGAGCTTCAGGAAGCCGCAGGACGCCCAGGACAGGCCCCAGGGGGGAGCAGGAGATTCCCAGGAGGATACACATCCGGTGTCGATTCGTTGATTTTTCCTGCTCTTGCGGCCCCCCCTCATTTTGGGGGGGCCCGACGGCCACATGTTAGATATCCCCCTGGGAGCCCCAAGAGGCTTCAGGAAGCCCCATGTGGGGTCCAGGAGGCCACAGGAGGCCCAGGAGGAAGCCCCAGGAGGTCACCAGGAGCCCCCAGGAGGTCCCAGAAGGCCCACGCAACTCGGAGTTCTGAGACGCCGCGCTCGAGGTGGTCCGGCCCGTTTCGCCTGAGACTTCCTCGCAGCACGTTTCGCCCGAGACATCGTCGCAACTCTGGGGTCCGAGATGCCGCGCGCGAGGTGGTCCAGCCCGTTTCGCCTGAGACATCCTCGCAACTCTGGGCTCCGAGATGCCCTGCGCGAGGTGGTCCGGCCCATCTCGCCTGAGACATCCTCGCAACTCTGAGCTCTGAGATGCCGTGCGCAAGGTGGTCCGGCCCGTTTCGCACAAGACATTCTCGAAACTCTGAGCTCTCAGATGCTGCGCAATAGGTGGTCCAGCCTGGGGGCCCAGAAGACCACATGTTACATATCCCCCCTGGGACCCTTGGAGCCCCAGGAGGCCCCAGAGAGCTTCAGGAGGCCGCAGGACGCCCAGGACAGGCCCCAGGGGGGAGCAGGAGATTCCCAGGAGGCCCCAGGAGGCCCCCTATCAGAACGTGTCAAATCAATACACATCCGGTGTCGATTCGTTGATCTTTCCTGCTCTTGCGGCCCCCATTTTGGGGAGCCCCGACGGCCACATGTTAGATATCCCCCCCTGGGAGCCCCAAGAGGCTTCAGGAAGCCCCATGTGGGCCGGCTCGCAGCGCCCGGGAGCGGCGATTCCTCAGGCTGGGAGTTCCGAGCCCGAGGGCGTGACAGGCGCCGCGCGGCAGCGCAGGCTCGCGCAGTCACAGAAGCGCCGAGCTCGCCACCACCGCAACGCGGACGACGTGGATGGAGGGTTTCTCCCTCCTGGAGCAGGAGGCGGCGCGGGCGCCGACGCAATGCGAGCACCAGAGTGCCTTGGACTTCGCCTGCAGGAGCTGGCCCCCAATGGCCAACGCGGCGCCCGTGAAGGAGCCGGACGAATCGGCGGTGGGCGAGGCGCGGGTGTGCTACCGCAACGCTCTGTGTCAAGCTGGGGCGCATATTTCGTTGGCCGAGGAGCTCATGGCTGGCGTCCTTCACTTCAACCCGGGCTTCGCGCGCCACGGCGCCCGGCGCTTCCCCCGTGGCTGGAGATGTCTTCGGGTAGCGCCTGGACCCCCCGGGGACGAGGAAGCTCTGAGCGCTGGCGCTGTGGCGCGCGATGACCTTGCGCATGATGGAGCGTGGCAGTCTCCATATGGCGGCGTTCGCCCTGGTCGCGGTGAGCGCGTGCGCTCGACCCAGCAGCTTCCAGCTCCTGAAACCAGCCTGCCCGGTGCCGCCATTGGCGGGCGTCTGCAAGCGCTGGGCCTTGCAGGGGCTCTTCCCAGAGAGAGAGAGAGAGAGAGAGTGGATCGGCGAGACAAGACGGGTTTGGGCGACTTGCCGCTGGAGTTGGAGAGTCGCCATGGATCCGCGTCGCGGGCCCCGTGCTACAGCGGATGAGGCAGGAGGCCCATCCAGAGCGCTTGTGGAATTTCACTTATCCCGGCTATTGCAACATGTTCCGCCTGTGCCTGCAGGGCCTGAGGGTGCGGTCCAAGGTAGTCCCCTACTAAATGCGCCACTCAGGCGCCTCGACAGACATGGCGAGGAAGTGGCGACGGCTGGGCGAGGGCCAAAAGCGGGGTCAGTGGAGGACCATTCGGAGCGTCGTCCGGCACGAGAAGCACGCCGGACAAGCGGCCGCCTGGGCGACGCTGTCCCGCGCCCAGTAAGACATGTTCCTGGTCTGCGAGGTTCATCTCGAAGACATTATTTCGGGGCGCGCCTCGCCGGTCGACTTGCAGGAGCTCGGCCCCGTCTGACAGGCCGCTACCTGCTACCTGGCAGACTGCTTCAGCGGCAAGGGCGGGGCCGGGCGCGCCGCGATGGCCATCGGGGCGCCCGTCAGGCACTGGGGCGCGCCGCGCGGGGCGCAGGTCGACCTCGCGAGGCGATCGGTCCTAGGAGGCCTGTGTTCGGACATCGCGAAGGGCATGGTCTCGGCTGGCTGCGCGGCCACATGACCGCGGCGGCGGACCAGGCGGGCGCCGCGAGGTTCGGGGGGCGATGGATCGGGGGGCCCGCGCCAGGTGTCTAGATCAGCGGCAAGAGGGGGCCCGCTGGCGCAAGCGCTCGCGTTTGCGTTGTTGTCTTGACAGATGGCGCAGGCAGATCAATTGATTTTGCTCGAAGAGCGGCCGGTGGCATCTCGCGCTCGAGAGCAGCGCCCCCAATGGGGCGAAACAGGCGGCCATCGCTGCTAGCAATCCGCCTGCCCTCGATAAGAAGCTGGCCGGAGTTCCTTTCAGTGGGCGCACGGCGCGCGCCCCTGCGCCCCGGGAGATTTGAATGCGAGAGGCCCGGGTGCCTGAAAGACTCCTCGGGAGTGAGGATTGAGGTTACTAGCCTCGATCCATTTAGTAAGAGGGCAGTGAGAGGACACGTGGACGCGCCCACTCCGCGCCCGCCGGCTCGGTGCCCGAGCTCCTGGAGAAGCGGAGTAGTCCAGAATCGTTAACAGGTGCCTCAGTAGCATTGGGGCTGCAAGCGGTTCTGAAGGATTTTGAAGTGGGTTGCGGCATCGACGGCAAAGAGCGACGCAAGTGCAACCGCCGCCATGTCGAGCAGGCGCGGAATGGGAAAAGGGTAGACACATCGGAGTCTGCCAGCTTTGGTCAAAGGAGAAGGTCAGACGAGGAGACACCAAAATAATCAAAGTAGGAGCCCCATATTGACTTGCAGATGCACTAATATTTGAGCAGGCGCAGCTTGTCCATGCACGCGCGAGGTGCCGACCAACGCCTTGTTCACTGAAGACTGGAGCTGGCGCCCGCTACAGACTGTTAGCTCTATCCATCGGAGGTGAGGGGGTGAGATCGAAGTGGAACGGAAAGCCCCCCTACCGGGAAATCGATTTCGGTTTCGTGTTCGTGCGCGCCGTGCGCGCGGGCGAGGCGAAGCTGCGTGGGCGGGCGAGAGAAAGTCTCCCGTGGCTGAGGCGCGGCCGGACCAAATGATTCCCTTCCGGGCGGCCGGTGGCCCGCGGTGCCCCGCCGGTGTCCCGCGAAAGTCCCGTGTGGCTGAGGCGCGGCCGGACCAAATGATTCCCTTCCGGGCGGCCGGTGGCCCGCGGTGCCCCGCCGGTGTCCCGCGAAAGTCCCGCGGTGCCCCGCGGTGCCCCGCCGGTGTCCCGCGGTGTCCCGCGATAATGATGATGATGATGGTGATGATGATGATGATAATTAGATGATGATGATGATGAGGATGATGAAGATGGTGATGTCGATGATGATGCTGCTGATGATGCTGATGACGTCGATGATGATGATGGTGATGCTGCTGATGATGACGATGATGAGGACGATGATGATGATATGATGATGATATGATGATGATGGTGTCCCGATGATGATGATGCTGATGTCAATGGTGATGATGATGATGACGATGATGATGATGATGATGATGCGGATGGTGTCCCGATGATGAGGATGATGAGGATCATGATGATCATGATGATGACGATGATGGTGTCCCGATGGTGATGAGTATGATGATGTCGATGTTGATGATGCTGATTATGGTTGTGTCCCGATGATGACGATGATGTTGATGATGATGATGTTGATAATGATTATGGCGTCCCGATGATGAAGATGATTATTCTGATGGTGATTGTGATGATGTTGATGACGATGATGGCGTCCCGATGGTGATGATGATGATGCTGATGCTGATGTTGTTAATGATGATGATGGTGCCCCGATGATGACGACGATGATGATGAAGCTGATGATGATGATGTTGGTGATGCTGATGATGATGATGTCGACCATGAGGATCAGATGATGATGACGGTTGTCCGATGATGATGATGATGATGCTAACGATGGTGGTCATGATGGTGTCCCGATGATGGTGCTGCTGATGATGATGATGAGGATGACTGTGTCCCGATGCTGCTGCTGATGATGATGATGATGATTGTGACAATGGTGATGATGATGGTGGTGGTGTCCCGATGATATAGATGACCGTGGTGATGATGATGTTGGTGTTGATGAGGAGGACGGCGTCCCGATTATTATGATGTTGGTGATGATGATGTTGATGTTGATGTTGTTGTTGATGATGATGATGACGTTGATTGTGAGGGCGGTTGTGATATCGATCGTGAAATCGATAGTGAGACCGAATGTGATATCGATTGTGAGATCGACTGTGAGATCGATTGTGAGATCGATAGTCAAATCAATTGTGAGATAGATCGCGTGGGATCGATTGTGAGATCGATCGAGGGAGATCGATCGAGCGAGACCGATACTGAGATCGATAGTGAGGTCGAGACCGATCGAGTGAGACGCTGGCCCCCCCCCCCCCCCGAACCTCCTTATCGCCCGAAGGGTGGTCGTATAGGTATCCGGGTTATCATCGCGGGCCGCTTGGCCGGAGACCTGAGCTCACGTGGTCGGTTGACGTCCAGGTGCTCGCTTATGCGAGAGAATGCCAACTCCGCCAGCCTGCCCGCCCGGCGGCGGGCCTGCCGCCGGAGTCGGGGCCCGCCGCGCGGAGCGAGGAACCGGGGCCCGGGGGTCGGTGCGTCCGGGGGCGCCGCGGCAGAAGTCCGCCGCGGCGGCCAGCGGGTCAAGCTATCCGCGCGGCTCGACCAGGCCGACGACGCAGAGATCAAGACGATGGAGGCCGACATCCTCCAGGGCTTGGCGCGGGAGTGGGAGGCCCAGAACAGCGACGGGGAGGGCCCGGCGGAGGAGGAGGAGGCCACTGGAGAGCAGTTGGCCGCCCTCGCCTTCCGCGCGCGGCCTGGGGCGAACGCGCGCGCAGACTTTGGGGCCTGGCGCCCGAGAGGGGCCGGGGTCGCCCGCGCGCTCAAGTTCCAGGCCTTCGCCCCCTACCAGCAGGGGGGCGCCCGCCAGCAGCCTCGCTGCAGGAGCGGCCGCGCTCTCGGCGGGTCTTCGCTTTCGCCATGGAAGTTCTGGGAGAGGCCAGCCGGGCGCGCCTCGACAGGTACATGGGCTGGGTGTGCGAGCTCGCCGAGGAGCACCCGCAGCACTGCTGGTCCATCGTGGCGCTCGTGGACATGCACGTGCGCAGCGAGCACCCCGAGCGCGCCCAGTGGCGGCGCGCCCGGGGGCGCAATGCAAGGGCCTCGTGGCGGCGAAGCTCCCTTCCGCGTCACGGCGTTCGAGCCGGACCACCCCTGGGGCTTCGCCCTCAGGGGGGCCGCGCGGGGCGACGCCTTCTGGGGCAAGGGGGTCGACGAGAAGGCGCTCAAGTAAATGCGCCGCGCGCGTGACACGCGGCGCCCCTGGTCTCGGTCGGCGACGACGGCGCCGGGCCCTTGCCAGAGGCGTCAAGCGGGCGGCGCAGCCCGCCGCGGAGGCCGCGGGCATTCCGACCCGGAAGCGCCAGAAGCGCGGCCGGGGGGTCGAGCTCGCCCCCCGCGCGGGCGGCGCGGCAGCAGGCGCCGGCGGCAGCGGGGGGCCGCCGCGGCAGAACGAGGGGGGCGGGCGCGGCGGCGGCAGCAAGGGCGCCGGCGGAGGCAGCAAGGGGGCCGGCAAGGGCAAGGAGGCCCGCCCTGACTCCGGATCCCCCCTACTTCTTTGGCTTTTTTTCAACTTAGAATTGCGTCGGAAATCCATGCAAAAGAAGCCGAAAAGTAGGGCGGAAATTTCCGCACCCAAGAAGCAAGGCTGATATTTTCGCCTTACTTTTTGGCGTTTCTATTCGTCGTTGAAGTCGCGCGTAGCAGAACGCGTACTTGTTCGGATCCGAACCGTAGGAAAGCAGGGCGGAAACGCAATCAAGTGGGCGCGGCGCCTCTGTCCGAAGCCACCCAGATTGCCGAGTCAGAGCGACGGGGCCGAACGGTCTCCCGCTGCCCCCGCGCGCGGGGTTGACAAATTTCTCCACGATGCGGAGACATGTTTTCATGCGGTCGTCGCGGCCCCGCCCCCCGCGCCGCGGCCCGGGCCTCGAGACGGTCAAAGACGGCCGCGAGACGACCCGCGACGCCTCGAAGGTGGCCCAAGAGGGCTCCAAGGTGCCCCCAAGCGGCCCGCGCCCGCTGATCCCAGCCAACGTTCATCAGTAGTTATGGCGTTTTTGCCCGTCGGACTTCGGCCCGAACGTTGTCAGGCTGCCCCAAAATCTTGCCCAACAGGTCCGAAACAAGGCTTCAAGACGGCGCCATGACGATCCATAGTGGCCACCGAGACGGCTGATGCGGCCCAAGATGGCGCCCCTGGCTGCGCGCCGCCCCGGTCGTTGCCTCTGGAAGGGAAGCGCGCCCGCGCCCGAAAGCGGAGGTCGATGCGCCCGCCGCATCGTCAATCAAAACACGTCTCGCCACCCGCCCCGCCCCCCCCCCCCTCAAAAAAAAAAAACATCCGACATCTGGATGTTTTCGCTCTGCGGGCCCAGGATCCACGACGCATCAATGAGACGTTTTTTCGAACGTAGCCCGAACGTGCTTCTCGCGAGGTAAACTCCGACTGACTGACAGACAGGCAGACTGACTGACTGACTGACCGACCAACTGACTGGTCGCACCCGCTACGCGGCCGTTGCATTTTCGGCCGCCGAAGGCGCAACCGATGGCGCCATCAATAGGAGACGGTATTATTCTCTGCCGCCGAACGCGCAACCTACGGCGCAATCAATAGCGGGCGGCCCTATTCTCAGCCGCCGCCGAGGGCACAACCCACGGCGCAACCAATAGGAGGCGGTTTCATTCTCGGCCGCCGAGGGCGCGACCAATGGCGCCACCAATAGGAGACGGGTTCTTCCTCCTCCGCCGAGGGCGCCACCTTTGGCGCAACCAATAGGAGGCGGAAGGATTCTCGGCCGCCGCGGGTGCAACCTATGGCGCAGCCACAAAAACGACGGGATCATTCTCGGCCGCCGCGGGCGCAACCAGGCGAAACCAATAAGGGACGGGCTCATATAGTCGACTGCTGGAGCGCAACCTTGGGCGCAATCGACAGCAGACGGATCT